CAGACTGTTGTGAGCCACCATGTGGGTGCTGGGAATGGAATCCAAGTCCTATCCTCTGGAAAGGCAGCCAGTGCTCTTAACCACTGAGACATCTCTCAGGCCCTTAACCACACACTCTTTTCAAACGCTACACTCCAAGTCCAGCACTAACAACTCAAGCCTGGGCACAGAGGCCACCCTGGGCTGCATTATCTACTTTATATGTTCAAATGATTGTGGAGGTGACAGGTAGTCTGGCAGCTACAGAGAACAAGGCTGGCTTAAGAGTGGTGCTTGCTAAACTTCAGGAAGAGAGGAGGGATGTCTCGCTCAGGCAACAGGAGCAGGAAGTCACCCAGGGAAGATAAGAAGGCACCTTTGTAGCTGAAGGTTTTCCTGTGTCCCGCCCGGTCTGCAGCTGCTCAGACCCAAGTAAACACACAGAGGCTTATATTAATTACAACTGCTCAGCCATTAGCTCAGGCCTACCACTGACTAGCTCCTACACTCAAACTCAGCCCATTTTTGTTCATCTATATGTCGCCATGTGTTCTGTGGCTTTACCTGTGTGCCGTTACATGCTGCTCCCTGGATGGCAGGCTGGCATCTCCTGACTCAGCCTTCCTCTTTCCAGAATTCTCCTTGTCTGCTTATCCCGCATATACTTCCTGCCTGGCTACTGGCCAATCAGTGTTTTATTAAACCAGTATACAAAAGCATTATCCCACAGCACACCTTGTATGTAGAGAACTAAATAATTACAAGTAAGGCCAGACTTGACTTGCCCTTATTATCTCCGTGAGCCTGCAGCGGTACACAGTATCAGAGATGAAGTCTTCCTCCTCCATCTGGGACTAGCCTTCGCCACTGTTGGAGGTAACAGCCCTGCAGCTTACTGGCCCTCCGGCCAATGGCAAAGGCTGTTAGGCAGGACTCACTCCTGTAAACCCCACCCCAGTCCTAGCTAGCTGTTGGCACCTGGTAAATGCTCAAGAAATACTTAGAGTTTTCAAGCTTTGTTAATTTTATATGCCCAGGCCATCTATATAATCAGATGTTATAGAGGAAAGAGCTGTGGTTTAAAGACAGGAGGGGGACAGGGGGCAACAGGTAGATCTGGGGCAGGCCCTGACTCCCTCATGATCTTGACTTGCACATGGCCCTGGAACCTGTGCCCGCATGTAAGGTCCCGTAGGAGTGACAGAGAGAAATCAAGGCATGCAGTAATGTATGGATAGCCCAGCACAGATGCATGGGCAGTACAGTGTAGATGCGCAGCACATATACCTTGGGTCTGTCCATCAGAGCGGGTAGAGGGAGGCAATTGCATTGCGTGGGCTTTCACACAGGAAGGAAATGTGCACAGTGGTTTGAGCACAAACCTAGGCTGTGGGTCTTATCTAAACCCCAGCTTTGCCACACATGGGCCCTGCGACCAGAGGATGATAGATGATACTTTATAGGGATACGTAAGTGTTAAAGGAATTGGGTTCACTCCGTAAATATTTACCATGTGACTCATCCCTGCCTCGTACGGTCCCCATGCAGGGAAGAAATGTTCATTCCTAGCAGCTGGATGCTGGCATTAAAGGACAAACGGTGGTTAATAGGTAAGCTTTGGAGGGCAGTGCCCCGCCATGCGATGGTCCTTTAGCAGGGGAATTCTCTGGGGTGCAGAACTGATTTCTGTACATGAAGATACAAATGGAAGGAGATTAGCTGGGAATTCAGCTTAGCAGTCCTCAGCGGAGGGTTGGTCCCGGATGCACAAAGCATGGTGCTCAGTCTCTAGTACTACACAAACTGGGTGTGGCAGTTCACACCTGGAATCCCAGCATTTGGGAAGTAGAGATGGGGACCAGAAGTTCAAGGTTGTCTTTCACTACTAAGACCAAGGCCAGCCTGGAATATATGAAGTAGTATTTGAATTTATATAATTAAATTAAAAATAAAATACACAATTAAATACTAAAATATTTATAAATGGGGAAACAAATGACCTGATTTTTTACTGGGCCTCAAGCATGAACAACAGAAGAAGAGAACCCGTGTCTGTGTCCTGAGGAGCCTGAGATCTGGGGGCAGAGTTCACTGTCCGCTGAGAACCACAGTTGCAGACCTGAATGAGGCAGGCCATGCTACAGGGTGGCGGGAAGCATCCCTGATGTGCCAAGGCCCATGGGAAGGTCCTACGGGAGACAACCCAAGGCTGACTCTGTGTGGGGGACCAGACTGTCAAGGACGGAGGGAGCCAGAGTAAGACACTTGCCCTGTAGTGCAGCCTGGGGTGGCTAAGGGGGGTGGGGGGTGATAAGCCACACTGTGCAGAGCCCAGAGTGCCTGGGCACTGACTGAGCTGGCCTGGACTGGGGCAGGGATACAAAGCCCTGACCACTCCTGTTATTACCTACAAGGCCACCAATAAGGTGAGAACTGGGGGATGGCAGTTGGCCTAAGATTCAGAGAAATAGGCATTGTTCTGGGAGACTTGGGCACGAGGCCATGATGGCAGTCACTGAACTGGGATTTTGGATACGGCATCATGCCGGAGGAAGGACCAGGGCCAGGGCAAGGTGAATGAGGAGAACCAAGACAGGGGCTCTGGCCTTTGAACTGAGTCAACCAAGCAGCCAGGGAAGAGCGGGCCACTCATAATGACCCACCATCTGAGGATGATATGAGCAAGTCTTTGGGGACTTTAGGAAGTGACCTCTGCTGAGGGATCTTTCCAACCACACCGTATAGTAGTCCCACCCACACCCACTTCCAGTCTCCAGCCACACAGGCTGTCCTTTGTAGCACTCGCTACCACCTGAAGGGGTCCCATTTGCTCACTGTTGCTGAATATTGACATTGGCCCTGGAAAGCCCAGCCCTGGGCATGTTGCACTACCCCCCACCCACCCCCACCCCGAGCTGCACACTGCCCCACCCCCATGTGCCACCCGGCTCCAGGACTGAGATGTTACAGGTGCTTGGCTTGTAGGGAGAGAGGCAGCTGTAGTGGAGGACACAGGGCCACGGGCCCAGAGCCCACAGTGGAGGTAGAAGCCTCAGCATGAGCACAAATGGCTTTGGATGTACTGAGTGCTCCAGACTCAGAAAGATCCACTCAGAAAAGGGGGTGCCCCTGGGTAAGATGGGTGAGGGGGCCGCCTAGAGGTGCTGAACTGGGATCTGGTTGGCTGAGGTTGACATGGACAGCTGGGTGCTAGGGGACGGAACTCGTGGTAAGAGGAGATCAGATTGGGAAGAGAGGCCGGGGCCTGATAGGGGTCTCAATGCTGCTGTGGGTGCTGTTAGGGACTTTATTCCTTGGGTTGGGAAAGCTATTAGTCATTTCTAAGCAAGGGAGGTGATTGGATTAGACCCCTGATTTGTAAAGATCAAGCTGGTTGGGTGTGGAAGATGGACTAAAGAAGAGAGTCAGGGAACAGAGAGAGCAGGGGAAAGCCATGTCTGAGTGAGAGGTGACCTGCCTGGGCTGAGGCAGGGCATGGGTCTGGGGATGAATGGGATCATGAAGACCAGAGAGAAGCCGTGGGCCATACTTCCCTATGGATAAAACTAGCCCAGACAAAAGGTTTGCTGTCTGGGAGGACTTTGGCCGTTTGAACACTCAGGAGGGCATATTGTACTGACATGGGAGTGTGTTGGCTTCTTAGCCAGCAGATGCTGACTCTCAGCCAGGCACCGGATATCCCCTCCCAGTCACCCAGACAGCAGGGGAGCCCCCATCTGACAGAAGCAATCCCCAGGCTGTTTCTTCACCTGAAGCCATTAGTACGGGATGGGCCTATAGCCATCCCCGCACTCAGGCATGCTCTATAAGGAAGCTGCCCCTGGACCCTGCTCTAAACGGTTGAGGGATTTCTTCAGGTTCAGAGCCCAGAGGGTGGGAATATGTGCAAAAGCAGGCCGTTCTGGGCAGCAGGACGGACTGCAGAAGGCCGGAGGGCAGGCAGGGTGCAGGCGTGGCCCAGGCATTCTGAGGGCCTTGTGGCTGCACTCCAACAAGAACCCAGTCACTACCCTCTCCCTGACCTAACTCACTCCCAACAGCCCATCCGAGTCACCTCCCCAAACCAGGCTTCAGCAAGTGCCGGACAGGGTGGACTTTCAGGGAACGTGAAGATTTTCTTTAAATACAACATCCGAAGCTGCAAGCGATGTGTATTATTCACTTGCTCTTTTCTTTTTGATTGTTTGTTTGTTTGTTTGGGACAGTGTCTCATTATATAGCCCAGGCTGCCCTGGTGCTCAAAATCCTCCTGCCTCAGCCCCATGAGTACTGAGATTGTAGGCATGTGACACCCTACCCAGCTAGATCACTTTAATAGGTGGTCATCAGGGCACATGCTTGTCTTGGCCCCTTTTTTTTGGCCTTTGTTCTGAACTCAGAACTGGCTAGAATCCGTCTTCAACTGAGGTTCCTGTAAAATTCTGTGTTTGCTACCTACTCTCATTTCACGAGATGAGAAACGTGAAAGGCCCCCCGAGAGGCTTCATTTCCAAGTGAATGCTTAGTACCAAGATGGTCCTGTATGGAGAGTGCTTGAGCCCAGGTGGGTGGGCTCCGTCCACCAAGGACTGGAGACTTCACTAGCAGCAGCAGCAGCAGCAGCAGACAGAGGTAAACTGGGAAAATCTCTTCTCTGCTGCCATCACGTGTCCGTTGGGGAAATAACTTTCTAGCAGAGGTTAAGCATCTTTCCCCAAAGGCTCCCGAAACAAGGACCAGTGGATGTGCGCAGCCTGGCCACGCCCTGTAAGCTGCCGCCTGTATGCTGGCACGTGGACTCAGTGGGGTGAGACTTTCATGGGGCCTGGCACACCCCGGATGGACCTTCTGGCTCTGACCTTTGCCTGCCGCTTAACACCCTCTTCTCTTGGTCCCTTCGAGAAGTTTCTGAATCAACAGCACGCCTTAGCCTCTTTGAGTTACTGCATCGGGGGTGAAAACTAAAGTTTATTTTGCAGGTAAAGGGGCAGCCCAGAAGAGACAAAAAGGAAGCCAGGAAGCTGAGCAGAGGCCGGGTCACTGAACGAACGGAGAAGCCTGCAGCCCCCAGGGAAAGCAGAGGCAGGCTGTTGGGGAACTCCCAGGCCTGGCCTCAGGCTGGAGTGGACGGGGTTCCAGGGACTCAACTCCAGGTACAGCACTTGCAAGAGTCACTGAACACCAAGCCCGGCGGACAGCTCTGCTGGAACCGCCGCCCCCCTGCACAGCTGTAGTAACTGGATTTTTCTCCAGGGTTGGGGTAGAGCCCGTCAGCTTTGCCTTGGCAGAAGGTATCTACGCCCGGGCTGGGTCCCTGCTCTGGCTCGGGAGGCTGGTGTGGTCCAGATGCTTCCTGTTCTGGGCTTCTTGGAGGCACGGAGGGAAGATCTAGGAAGACAAGGAAGACACGACCGATCCTGGCCCCACAGATTCCAAACCACAGGCCAACAACACAGCAGCAGCAGCTGGAGGCAGAAGCCCAGCTCTCCACACACCACATCCAGACCGCAGGCACAGCTACAGCTCGGCACTGCCTGGAAGACAACCTGGGCTACACGGTAGTAGGCAGCTGACGACCATATACCAGCTGTGTTAGCCATACACTGGTGAAGGGCACCTAGGGGGTCCCACACATCAGGGTGAGGGCCGGCTTTCTTCTTGGTAAGAGCAAACAGCTGTCCCCAGGCCGAGACCTTTGGAGGGAATCCCTGTTACCACACTCTGGCACGTATTGCCAATAAGAGACAGGAAAGGAGTGTGAAAGCGCATCGTTTCAACAGTTTCCTTAGCTCCTGGGGTGCATGGAATTTGAGAAATCACAGTATTGGGGCACAGGTGTTTCCTCCTAAGAAAGACTTATGAGAGGGGTGGGTGTGCACCCCACTCTCTGAGTTTAGCCTCTGGTCCCCTGCCCCCTTACTCACTCAGTTCCCGCCACAGTGTCCGGATGAGAGGGTACTGGCCCTGGTTGCAGAAGGAGCCTGTGAAGTCGTCCAAGTCCAGGGCCCAGACCATGGCCCCTCCCAGCCCCTTCTGTTTCAGATAGCTGACCTGGGGGTGGGGGGATGGGCAGATGTAGGTGACCAAAGTATTACCTACTGGTTGTGATAGGCTCAGTTACTGCAGGGAATCAGGTCTCAGCTTCCTGAAAGTTCTGAAGCAAGCTTTGTCTTCATATCTTCATTTCTTCTTCACCCTCAGGATTCCTGAGGAAACATACCGTGGCTGTGTTCCCTCAGAGATATTCGGGGCACCACGATGTGGAGTGGGTCCGAGAGCTAACGGTTAGGGTGGTTTGGACCTATTACTAGCCTCACTCTGTTCTCAGGGTCCATCTCTGCCTTCTCCACCCTGTCTGCTTACAGTTTCCTCCCTATATGACTACGTTCTAGGCGTTAGGACTTGCCTCAAGTACACTTCCTCCACACTCCTTCCTCCCATCTCCTTGAACAGCATCTACACTTTGGAGATTCCCACGGGGCGCTTCATCGGCATTTCTGAAAGCCCCCGTCACTGTCTGTCCCATGAGGCCTGCTGACAAAAAAAATGTAGCTCTGTCTCTTCAGGAGCTGAGGATCTCTTCCAGCAAGAGGAAACACATAAAGGAACCCATATTGGGCAGGATGAAGGGGTCCTGTAAGGAAGTCAATGACATGAATATGCTCCAAATCTGGCCAACAGACTGGATAAAATCACATGTCCCACCCACCACACGTATTTCTTCTTTCCTTGTGCCTATACAGTTAGTATTTTGGTAAAATACAGATCTTGTCAAGAGGACTACTTATGTAGAGAAATCTCTCTCTCTCTCTCTCTCTCTCTCTCTCTCTCTCTCTCTCTCTCTCTCTCTATCTCTATCTCACTCTGAGTGAGTATGCATACCTGTTTCTCTGTACTGGGGACTGAACCCTAGGCCTTGTACATGCCAGGCAAGCACTCTACCACTGAGCTACATCCCCAGCCTTCATTGTGCCTCTTCTTCATCAATAGGTGATAAATGTTCAAAATACTGTCACATGAAGAGGGGGAAATGTTGGAGCACAGGAACATTCATCCATGAAGAGAGCTGGAGTGCGGGTGTTATTGACAGGCCTTTGATCTGCCAGGGGCCGCCCCCTCCCAGTAGGGCTGGACCTCACCTTAGCTCTGAAGCTTTCCATGTCATCAAATCCCACCCACTGGTTGTCTTGGAAGACATAGGGCACCTTCTGGTCCTCGATTCTGTGTTTTCCTTTCCAGGAGCAGACCTGTAGGAACAGAGCTGTATTAGGGAGGAAGAAGAACACTAGCAGGTACTGATAAACAGGCCTGCCTCCACCTTAGGCTTAAAAGCCATCTTTTAAGACAAACTGGGTACATTACTGTTTATGATAAAATTTCCATTTCTCAGCCGGGCGGTGGTGGCGCACGCCTTTAATCCCAGCACTCGGGAGGCAGAGCCAGGTGGATCTCTGTGAGTTCGAGGCCAGCCTGGTCTACAGCGCGAGATCCAGGAGAGGCGCAAAGCTACACAGAGAAACCCTGTCTCGAAAAACCAAAAAAAAAAAAAAAAAAAAAAAAAAATTTCCATTTCTCAAGGATTTGACTATGCCCCACCTGTAACCTTAACTACACACGGTTCTGTATTGCCTGTTTCAGGAAATGGCAACCATGTCTTTGTTTCAAAAAGGTTGTTATGACCACCTTGTTATGACCACCTGCAATCACTTTGTTTCAGGAGGTCATTATGACTAACTTGTTATGTTTAAGTTCTGCTCCTATAACCCCACCTATTTGCCGGACAAATCCCCCATTTGGAAACCCTTCTACCCCTGAGCTATAAAAACCTTATCTTCCCCAGATCTAATGCTGACCTTTTGAATCCTGCCTTAGGGGAAGGCAGCCTGTGTACACAAATTTTAAAGAAGCTTTCTTTAAGTAATTCGGCTGTGATTGTTTGGGTCAGTGGTCTTTCTCCTCAAATCTTTGGGATTAACAGTACCTGCCCCCTCATGCCAAGAGGAGACCAGAGGTTGAGAAATTCCCATCTGAGGAAGCAGAGAACATAGTAGGTTCTGTGGAGTAACCTAGAACTGTGGATTTAGAGTTCAGTTACCTGAGCTTAAGGATCTACACAAGATGGCCAGGGTAGAATGGAGTACCCTTGGCCAGAATTCTCCATGCTTACCACCTTTACTCAGCAATTACAGGAGAAGTCCTCTCACCTCCCAGGAACCCCTGGCCCTCCACCATTCTCAGTATAGCTAAAGGCCCTCTTACCTCAAAGTAAGCCAGTATCCCTCCTTCCCTTGTATAGGGACCTGGAGCACCAGGCCCTGTGGCTGGGGCCCCAACTCTGTTGTCTGATGAGGAGGCCAGGGTGAAGGAGCGTCCATAGGTGGGCATGCCGAGGATCAGTTTGCTGGCAGGCATCCCCTTCTGTAGCCAGAGCTGCACAGCAGCATCCTGGTAGAGAAGGAGGGCCTGGTTAATCTGCCTTTACCTTAGTTCTGATTGCCTGAGAATGGGGTTCTAGAGAGAATGGGGTGGGAAGGGGGTCTCCTGTGCTGCACCCAAGGCTCTTCATAAGCATCCCATCATGCCCATCTTCTTTCAATCCCACCTTAGACTCCTAACCCCTATGAGAGAAGCTGCAAAGTCCAAAAGTCAGATTCGGGGCTTTGGAACCAGGCAACCATTTCAGAACAAACAGTCACCCACAGTCTATTGTGTGCCAGGCTCTGTCCTAGAGGCTTGGACTACATCCCTGCAGAATGCAGACAGAAATTCCTGCCTCACTCAGCAAAGTGTTTAGAATAAAACTAATACAAACAGCCATTCGATTCAAGGGCTGGCCGTGTATAGGAACCTAGCAGATGCGAGCAGTTGTGAGCATTTTCTGTTAGCTTATTATAGTTATAAGATTCACCTGAGAACAAGATCGGGGCCTTGGGTCTGCATGCCCAGGGTTTAACCACCCACCTCTGAAGAAGGCCTTTCCACAGTCATATGGTCCTTGGTGTGTAATCCTAGGCCTATGGCTGGAAGAGACTTTTAATCTCATCATACTGAGTAAGTACTGAAAGATGATGAGTCATCCTTCAGGCCTAGACTGTGGCATGTTTTCCTCGAGGTGAGTCTAGACCTCTCGGGTAAAGGACAGTTTCACTGCATTGATTTCTTTTTGTTGGTTGAAGAATTCACCCATGATCAAACCCCAGCTTTCTGAGAGAAAAACTCGGGTCCCCTGCCAACTTGAATGGCGCTTTTTTAAAAAAATATGTTTGAACCAGGTGTGGTGGCACACGCCTTTAATCCCAGCACTTGGGAGGCAGAGGCAGGCGGATCTCTGTGAGTTCGAGGCCAGCCTGGTCTCCAAAGCGAGTTCCAGGAAAGGCGCAAAGCTACACAGAGAAACCCTGTCTCGAAAAAACAAAAACAAAAAAAATATGTTTGAACAAGAGACTCCTCTGAGCTGGGCGGTGGAGGCGCATGCCTTTAATCCCAGCACTCGGGAGGCAGAGCCAGGCTCTGTGAGTTCGAGGCCAGCCTGGTCTCCAAAGTGAGTTCCAGGAAAGGCGTAAAGCTAGCTACACAGAGAAACCCTGTCTCAGAGAGAGAGAGAGAGAGAGAGAGAGAGAGAGAGAGAGAGAGAGAGACTCCTCTGGCCCGAAGTAATCCTCAGACACAGTGCAGCAAACAGAAGACCCGCGGTCAAAGGGAAAGACCTCCTTTTCCAGCCCAGAGAACACCAGGCTGTGGGGCTTCCTCCCCACGTGCCAGTCAGCTTGTGTCTCCCACTTGACTGAACAACTTAGCTTCCTTGAAAACCCACGCTGTTTGCCAGATGAGGTGAGCAGTCAGGCCCGATGTGACTCTCCAGCCCACAGGAGGAACTTTGTGAAAGAGTCAGAGAGAGAGAAAAATGGCCCACTCCAGCCAACCCAGAGATACAGCACACCAAAAGCAAGCGGCATTCTAATGTAGAGGGCATGGTGGTGGTTGTCTTAAGAAAGAGAAATGATCCAGCTATTCTTGCCTTCTAAGCATAGACTGGGCTTATGGAAAGTATCCAGACTTCTCAGGAGAAAGAGTTGGGAAGGAAAACCCCACTGCAGTCTAAGGCCAGCCTGCCCTGTTCTGAGGCTGGGTAGTTCCTCCATGAGTGACACTCTCATCGGTGTTATCAACCTTGGACAAGGGATGAGGATGTGAAACACGAGGGAGCCACATTGGCTGGAGGAGAGTCAAGTTCCACGGAGGCCTCCCCATTGGTCCCCTGCGTGTCTGATGTCATTGAAGTGACTTGCTCTGTTATCTAACACGCTGCGGAGAGGAGAGGCTTTGCCCTCTGGAGAGCAGGACAGAATAAAGAGAGAAGCAAAGAGAACAGGGAAGCCCTGGTGTCTCGCTGGCTTTTCCATTAGGGGCCCGGGGTTCAGTGAGGCCACTGAGCAGGTCCTGCTGGACGGAGGACCTCTGTCTCAACCGCTGACCGCTTACCACGTTGAGCCCAGTGGCTGCTTCACTCTCTTGCCTTTTGAAGAGGGGGCTGTTGTGTCCTGTGGTCTTTTCCCAGGAGCCGTGGAAGTCATAGGCCATAAGGCTGACGAAATCCAAGCTCCTGCCAGAGGCATAGGAGGAGGTGAGAACATGGGTGGGAGGTGCTTCCCTCGGGGTGTGTGGGGGGAGGCAGCGTAGGGATGGTAGGCTCACTTCTGGCTCCGTTCATCACATTCTCCATCCCTCGCCCTTAGAGCGGTCTCATTCGCGCTGCGGGGTTGGCCATTGTCTTTGGTGGCCTCCCCCTACTTATCATCCCTTCTGCACCCTGAGGTGCTTCCTGTTCTGTGCAAGAAAGCTGGTTTGATTTTGCCATTTTGGAAGCAATCTAGCTCAGTGTTTCCCAAGCTTTTATTACACAAGTCCCCTGAGAATCTCACTAAAATGTAAGTGTTTGCTCAGCAGGCTGCATTTCTAATGTCCCCTCACCCATACACACACACACACACACACACACACACACACACACACACAATCTCTCTATGTAGCTGGCCTGGAACTTACTGTGTAGAGCAGGATGGTTTTAGACTCATAGAGACCCATCTGCCTCTACCTCCTGAGTGCTGGGAATAAAGGCGCACGCACATCACCACACTAGCTCTTAAGTGTTGTAGAGGCTGCAGCTCCACAGACCACACCATGGAGCTAACATGTGACCTCCCATATTCTTGGAGATGCTTAAGGGCTTTGCTCTCCCTCCCTGCCCCAACAGTGTTCTTTAACAGTGAGTTCCCAAGGAAGAAAAGAACAACCCCGCCCCCACCCCTGCATAAAAGATCTGTAATAATAGAGCAGCAGAAAACAGACTTCTCAGACACCTGGTAGCATCTGAAAGCCACATCTTTTTTTTTTTTTTTGGTTGTTGTTGTTAGTTTGTTTTTTCAAGACAGGATTTCTCTGTGTACCCCTGGCTGTCCTGGAACTCTCTCTGTAGATCAGGCTGGCCTCGAACTCAGAGATCCGCCTGCCTCTGCCTCCTGAGTGCTGGGATTAAAGGCATGTGCCACTACCACCACCACCTGGGTGAAAGCCACATCTTGGAGGCAAAGATCGGCTCCATTTCTGGGAAGCTCAACCACCCTGGGCCTCTCCAGCCTTGGAGGACATGGGGTTTAAGCAGACGGCCCGAGACTCACAGAGCCATCTTGTCCACCTCATAGCCAGCATCCACGTGGTCTCGCCCAGCTGGCACAGGTGCCGTCAGAAGGAGCCGTTCCTTCCCTGAGGTCTGGGCTTCCTCCTGGAAGGCCGTGGCCAAGTCCTGTGGGAGGAATTCAGAATGAAGGCAGAGGCAGGAGCTAGCAGGACCCCCCACCCCCCCCACCCATAGATGTTCACACTCCGGGGTCTGAAGCTGCTGGCCCTGGGGACAGAGCAGCACTCAAATGCTATAGGGCCACCACCCTGAGTCACTTGGCAGACTGGGTGACTCTAGAATCACCCAGCCATACTTGTAGCAAGGCCGTGAATCTCTCTTTGTCTACTGCTGGGCTTCCACGGCTTCCTGGGTACTCCCAGTCAAGGTCAAGGCCATCAAAACCATGAGTGCGCAGGAACCTTATGGCTGAGTTGACGAAGGTCTGCCTGTTGCTGGCCGTGGCCACCATATCTGTGAACCTGTGAAATGATGGAAGGGGTGTGACCTGACTGGGCTAGACCAGAGGCCACTGTCTTGCTCACGGACGAGTAAAAAAATACTTGGGACCCCAATCTTGTGTTTACACCAGGAAGGCCTCTAAGATGGCTGCCCCGAGGATGCTGGGATATTTGCTGACAGGTTAGGGGCCTAGTTAAGGAAAGGAACAAAAAAAGTGCTTTCTAACCCCTAAAGTCAATGTCACCAGGGCTGCCCCAAGCTCCTTGAAGCCCCTGGAACTGTCTCACTGTCAATCAGAACTACCCCGACCCCTGCTCTCCATGAGATTGGGAGATAACGTACAGATGCTTGTGGAGCAGTTAGGGGGCAAGCGGTGAGACCAACAAGGATCTGGGAACCTGGGGACCCCCTGCTTGAGCTCCCTGGCAGATGAAGTGGAGGACTGTGTGCTGGGCTTATTAGCCTTTGCGCTGTCCAGAGATGGTCTGAATTCCACATTGGCCCCAGGGACACCTTTCCCTCATCTTCCCTCTTTGGTAGACCCCCAAAGAATTTTTGATTCTATTTTTATTAACTTTTAGCTCAATTAAATTAATGGTGTTAATTCTTCAGTCCATGTCTCTGAGAATACCAAGCTAAAAACCGTAACAATGTTAATAAAAAAAATGTGTTATTTTGGGAAGTTGAGTCATAGCATTCATTAGATTCTCAAAAGGTCTCATAGTCCAAAAATATTTTTTAACTATATAAAGCTTTGGGAACTGTATATCCTAGATTTTTTAGGAGATTTCTAGCTTTATTATTTTCATAAATAAGAAAATATTACAGAAGTGGACAATAATTTGGCAGCCAGGCTCAATGTCACTGACAAGATATCCCGTTCAGCACTCAGAAAACACACTGCATGCTGTTTGGGACCCCTGGTCCCCTCTTCCCCCACTTCATGGAGGAGGAGACTGAGGCTGGAGCGGTCAGAACTCTCCGCTGTTTCAGATTCTGGTCTTCTGATAAGACTGGATCTATGGCAACCTGGCGCCAAGCCTGCACCACTGCCGTCCTGATGAGGTGCCTAGAACCAGAGGGGAAAGCCCTGTGGTCCAGGACCCCGCCCCTTGTCATGCTTTGGCCCAGCCTACTTTCCCTGAGGAGGGCTCTGCTTGCTAGTGTGCCACATTCCCATCAGAAGGTTCTGCCACCCACTTGTCCAGGTCCACTCACTTCTGGGTACCAAAGGTCCAGCCCCCGATGGCTAACAAAGTCTTCAGCTTGGGGTTCCTGAAAAGAGAAGAGATGTGCAAGGCTGTACCTCACCAGCTTAGAGGATTAATGAGAGTTTAGGTGGGAGCAACAGTAGGAACAGGCCTGAGCATGCCGCTGTGCACACAGGCTGCGCTGAGTCCACTGAGGTAGACGGGTGTGACACAGAGGACCCTGTGTCTAACTGGGGCAGCACCACAGAGAGGCACATACACAGGGAACTCAGGAAGTAAGTGACCAGAGTCCTCAGAGGGGCTTTGTAAGGTAGCTGAAGATGGATACATGTTAAGAGCATGCCCAAGAGGAAGGGAATTCCTCAGAGTAGGAAACAGTTCTGCAATCCCAATCTTATTTAGGTTTAAACCAGAAGGGCCCTTTACACTTCTCTCATCTACCCCTATCTCTTCTGTATAAGCACAGGTAAGCAGAGAGGGGCCAGGGGGCATGTGACCTGCTCAGAACCACACAGCAACACAGCAGGTCAATGGCAGGGTTGCAATGATGACGAGGTTTCTGGGTGGGGGGAGGGGCAATCTGTCCACTCCCTCCCCCCTCCCCCCTCCCCTTACCCTTTGGCTCACATCTTCTTTAGGCCGTTCAGCTCCTGGTAGAGAAGCTTGTCGTTCCACTCCACAGAGCTGAGCTGGTGATTGTCCATTCCAGCAAAGGCATAGATGAGGTGGGTACACAGGTTGGGGTCTACATCCCTGGGTAAGAATTGAGCTGCCCCCGGACGGTACTGGGCCCAGTTCGTGAAGTAGCAGACCAGTTTTGCAGCAGAGCCTGACCAGTAAGGGAAGGAATAAAGAATGTCTGTCAGAAAAGTCCCTGGGAAAGGGTGGTCTCTGCCCCAGGTAGACAATGCCCATGAGTGTCTCATATACCTAGGCTCAGGGCTGAAGGAAATAGAGCTTGCTTTTGTTTGGACTAGTACCTCACAGTTAGGAAAGCATTTACATAGGTTGGTCATGGGGCCACAGACCACCTGTCAGCGGCAGAACCCTGATTACCAAACTCGATTCACCCTGTGCAAACTGAGGTTCATGAGCTTGGGAGACTTCTCAGTCAGCATGAGGGTAGAGCAGGGTGTTTGAATCCTGGTCTCCTGACCCCTTGACAACTAAGGCTCAGAGTCCAGGTCCCTCTGGCCAGGGACTATCTGCTCCAGGGCCTGAAACCCAGGGCAGCCCTAGGCAGCCCCATCACAAGGCCCAAAGGGAGTTAACATGACATGTTCTTTTGCCAAAGGAAGAGAGGTGGAACCTACAAAACACAGCTGGGAATACTTCACAATGCCAATTAAAATGCAAATGTCTGAAACAGCAGAGGGAGGCCGTTCCAGTTACAGGCCTTGGCTCATGTTTCTTTAATCTTCCATTAAAGCAGTTTGCATTTATTTGTTATTCCTTGTAGAGAGCCTACATTTATCAATGTCGTGGCTGAGGTTCCAGTAAAGAGCCTCCACTATGCAGGAAGGGTAGCTTGTGTCTGGTGTCTTTATAACTTGTGAAAGGCTGCAGGGGAGGAGGCCCTATGCCCAGTGGGCAAGTGCTGATGGTCCCTTGGAGGGCAGCCCTGAGCCAGGACCAGGGCATCGGAGAGCAAGAATTGTCTTCAATCCTGCACCAGTCAAGACAAACTCTGGGTCCATCTCCTGTTCGGTCCTAGTCCATCTGGACTCAGGGCCTCTTCCTGAGCGGCTCTGGAATGTACAAGGCGGTATTTTACACCAGGGACTTGGTGGAATGGTGAGCTTGATATCTAGGCCCTGGGACTTCCTTTTCTTCCAACAGGATCTCTTTATAACCTCCCAACTGTCCCTCTCTGTGTGTCCAGTGTCGGTGAGAAGGTGGAGGAGGAAACAGGGGTGTAAGGAGACTGTGAGTGAAAATTAGTCCATGAAGAACCCAACCCTGAGCAAATGGTCAGCTCCAAAAGAGAGGAACCTTTGCGTAGTCAACAGCTCTGACAGAAATGACCCAGGAATGGAGCTTGGGAGGAGGGGTGTGTACATGGATTCGTGAACTCCTCATAGCAAAAGGAAGAAAGAGGAGACCAAGCCAGAAAAGACACACCAGGCGCCACGCAGGAAGGAATCAGGAGGCTCACGTGGAACTGCATTTCACCACTGCGCATCACATGCTACAAACACATCTTATACGACAGAGTCAACATGGTGGTTAGGTGAAAGCATGCCCTCTAGCATGCCAGCCTACTGCTCATATAATCCAGCTTCCTCCTCTTGGAGTGAGGACATCCGCCCACACACTGTGTCTCACAGGATAACTCTATGGCTGTCAGCTCACAAATGAGTACTGACACAGTGAGTTCTGCTCAGGGTGCTTGCAGACATTAATTCCTAGTGCACACAAAGTCTTCTTATTGTGCTACACTGATGTAGCTGGAGGCAACTGGGGCTTCATTCAGCTTTCGGAGAAATCTTCTAGCCTCACTACCTCCCATGTGTGTTACTTGTATGGGCTCCTGCCTGATCCCTCTTGTGCGACCAAGAGGGGAGATGAGCACCCAGTGCTAAGCCTAGTATGCTTAGCATCTTCAGAACAAGAGCCTGAGAGGCCAGCATCCCTGGACCACCGATGCCCAGCAAGTAGGTGGGATGAGAAAGGGACCTGGGAGTCTGAGTTGCTGAAATGCCTGGGAGATCTCAGATCTTTTTTGTTTGATGTGGGAGCCCCCTTCTGACTCTCTTAGCTCCAAACCCATCAGCAAATGCAAGCACACATGTCCTGACTGAGCAACAGGGCTGGAACCACAGGGCTGGACTTAGCTTCCCTTACCTCTGGGCTCAGAGTCTGTGGGAGAAAAAGTTTAAGGCAAGAACTATAGAAACCGTGATACATACTAGAAAGTGTGCAGATGCTGTGTGTCGAAAATTCACTGCGAGTGAAATTAGTCCTTACACCCCTGTTTCCTCCTCCACCTTCTCATCGACACTGGGAAAGTCAAGAGAGGAGGGCACGGCTGCTTCTATGGCCTGGAAGGGGTCAGCTTGGTCCCTGGGTTGGTGCTTCTGGTTTGGCAAGAGCTCGTGTGTGTGTGTGTGTGTGTGTGTGTGTGTGTGTGTGTGTGTGTGTGTGTCCATGTGTGCTTTTGTGTGTGCATGTGTGTGTGGTGACTGGAATGGGGGAGTATAACAGAAACAAGGTGTGTGTGTGTGTGTGCACGCGCATGTGTGTGCATGCATGTGTGTGTGCGTGTGCACATGTGTGTGTAGTGACTGGAGTGGAGGAGTATAACAGAAACAGGGATGGGCTGAGGGAGCAAGTACTGGCCTAAGATACAGGTATCACTTACCCCACTGGGCCATCAACAGAGTCGTCACACCTGATAATCCAAGAGAAGAAGCAGAAGTCAGGATGCCATTCTCAGTGCCGTAGGCCCAGGTCCCACGTGCTGGCAGAGGCAGAGTGGGCGCAGGTGGCCAAACAAAGTTGGTTTCATACAAACCAAGCTTTCTCCTTCCAGAGGAGACCCAGGAGGAAAGCGTTCATCTCTGCACCGAGACCTGACAGCCAGGGGCTGTTTTCACCCAGGCTTGATAGCAGGAGTTGATGGAAGTTTTCCTGGCTACGAGGATGCATTAGAGGGTGGTGTGGATTTAGGAAGATTATGGGAAAACAGCAGACAAATGAGGTATGCAGAGGGGAAAAAAAATCTCTGTGGAATGAGAGGAAAACCCATTCCAGGGCTAGGAAGAGTCCATCTGGAAGGGTTGGGCAGGAGACGCCATCTTCTGATGGGCTTGGCACCTGGTCCCTCTGGTCCTAATGATTCACATTCCTGCCACTTGCCACAGTGGCTAAGATTGTTCCCAGCAGCCTTGAAGACCTAAGGCTGGCAGGATCCTTCAAAGAATTTGTTCCCACCTTTCTGGTGACTTTAGATTTTCCTTTTAATCTTAAAAGAAAAATCTGTATGAAATTTGCCAGAAGAGGCTGGGGAGATGGTGGTGGTTAAGAGTCCTTACTGCTCTTGCAGAGGACCTGGGTTCAACTCCCAGCACCCACATCAGGTAGCTCACAACCCCCTATAATTCCATTCAAGGGATCTGATGTCCTCTTCTGGCCACTGTGGGCACCTGGATGCATGTGGTACACATAAACTCATGCAGGCATACATACATACACAATAAAATAAATTATAAATATATAATAGAAATATATGAAATAATATTTTATTTTGTAAAAACACCTAGTGTTCTTGGCCCCCAGGCTGCCTTCTTGGAGGACAAGCAGTACAAGGTTAGGGAAGGTGACTGCTCCTTGGACCTAAACACTCAGGAGGGAAAAGACACCCAGCGCAGGGGCTCACCGACTGCATTTCCAGGAAAAAGACTATGGAAGAACGCCTCCCTTACAACACAAACACTCTTGGACTGAAAAGGGTAGTCAAGCTAGGAGGCAGGGACAGGTGGAATGAACCAAAGAGCTCCTGAGCCCTTTTGCTTCCTTGCACAGTATGAGGGAGCCACAGGCCATGCACATCCTCATGCACCGTGGCTCCTGAGGCCCAACCCACTCTCCCTGTCCAAGACTACGCACCTGCCAAGGCCATGAACCGCACCATGATGCTGGCTCCGGCAGATGTCAGCTCTATGCACACCAGTTCCACGGGTCTCACCCTGCTCTTACCCCACGGGCCTGCTGCCGCACGGCCAGGAGTGTTGAAATAGATGCCCGAGGGAGGAGAGAAAAGGGCTGCGGGTGGTAAATGGAGGGCTAGGATGTTCGGGGGCCTGGGTTGAGAAAACATGACACATTGTTCTTTCGAAATCCTTGCTTCTCTGGAGCGATCAGAGGGTGAAGGGTGGACTTTTGCGATTGCCAAATCGGGAGGCAGAAAGCAGAAAGGAGAAGGGCGCACAGCCTTCCTGCTGGCCAAGCGTGACTCTGCTCTTTGTGTGGGTTGGCAGACACTGTGGACAGCCCCAAGCCTCATGCTGCCCAGGAGAAAACAAGGGGATCCCGGGCCAGGGCAGCTGTGGTCTAGATCAGGTCTCCCCGGTCTTCCACAGCCCTCTCTTGAACTTAAGTTCCTCCATCTGTAAGATGATCGGCTCACGAAGAAACTATTTTCACAGTGTTATTCTTACTCTCTACATGATACTAATTTGTTTTATCCATGATTGAGAAAATACCCACGATGATACATAGCGATTAAGATTTCAGCAACAGTCAAGACCTGTGCAGTGATAACTCCCTACAGCTTCTGTAATGAACTGAGACTCTGGAAACAACAGGGACTTATTTTGTCTTGGTTCTGGAGGAAGCAGTCTGAGATGAGTGTGGGGCAGTGCTGTGCCTTCTCGAGAGGCTCTAGAGGGCTTTCCTTTCATCTTCTTGTTCTGGTGACTTGAATCCTGGGGCAGCACATTCCTGCTCTGCCTGCCTCCATCGCCCTCGGCCTTTCCCTACGTTCTAGTAGCTTCTCCCTTGCTGCCTCTAAGGACACCGATCCAGTGTGGTCTCACCTCAGGACCCTTTCATTCTTTGCCTCTGCAAAGACCTTTATTGCAAACAAGGTCACAGCCTGGGGTTCTGGTAGGGATTTTTTTTTTTTAGAATTTTTATTAAATATCTTCTTTGGCGTTTCGTACATCTGTGTAATGCATCCTGGTCCCTCTTTTGCATCGATTTTATTAGTTCTTTGAGAATTTCATACACTGTATTTTGATGGTACTCGCCCCTCGCAGCTCATCTCAAATTCACCTCTGACCTAACCAATTTTGTGTCTCCTCCTCCTCTTCCTCTTTTTCCTCTTTTCTATCAAGTCCGTTTCTGCTGCCCATATACCCTTGGATGTGTGGCCTTCCACTGGAACATGGACCACTCACAAAGAGACCACATCCTCAAAGAAAACTGACTCTCCCTCTCCCAATGGTTACTAATTGCCCATAGCTCCTCAGCTAGGGGTGGGACTTTGTGCCCACCTCCCCTCTCTGAGCCTTTGGAAAAGGGAGCGTGATATAGATATCCCATTTAGGGCGGAATATTCTAGTCTCCTATTCTCTACATCTTGCCAGTTATGGTTATCTGTGTTAATCACCAACTACTGAGGAAAGAAACTTCTCTGATGAGGGTTGAGAGATGCATAAATCTCTGGGTATAATTATAAGTTGATTAGTACCGTCTTAGGGTTTTTATTGCTGTGAAGAGACACATGACCCCAGCAACTCTTATAAAGAAAACGTTTAATTGGGGTGGCTCACTTGCAGTTTCAGAGGTTCAGTCCATTATCCTCAGACGTGGTGCTGGAGAAATAGCTGAGAGTCTTACATCTTGCCGGCAACAGGAAGTCAACTGAGACACTGGGTGATATCCTGAGCATAGGAAACCTGAAAGCCCACCGCCACAGTGACACACTTCCTCCAACAAGGTCATACCCACTCCATCAAAGTCACACCTCCGAATAGTGCCATTCCCTATGAGATTACGGGGGCCAGTTACATTCAAACTACCACAAGTACTATGTCCATTTAGTAGAATAATAGTAGTAGTTCCCTTTTATGGCTTCTGACCTTTCTAGCCACAGGTTCTTGGCACCAAAAACTACCAGATAACCAGATACGGGTTTCATCTTATGGAAGAGGCCTTCAATCCAAGTTTCTTACTCTAATGATATCCATGCCTCTTTTGCCCAAGTGGGCATGTCTTCCAAGGCCAGTAGTTCTTGTAGCCCTGAGTTACAGTGGGATATGATGGATGATTGCTTTTCTGCTCCAGTAGCATACATAGCACCTTCCAACGCCGTGAAAGCTCTCCAGCAGGGATGGAGCCTCGGTGAGTGCCATAGCAGCTTGATTTGTCCATGTCCCACGACTCAGGTGTGTGGTGTCTTCAGCAACAGGGCCTTACCATCAAGTTCCAGAGGGTAACCAAGAGCATTTGGCAGTTGCCTGTAATGTTTGGAGGTCTATGGGACCTTACTGCCCAACATCTCTGAAAGAGGTAACGCGTTCCTGGTTCTGGCTTTTTATTCCTTTATCTGTGGTGTCTAGTAGGGTTTTTTTTCACCCTGTTATAGGGAGGACTCCTTTTAAATTTTGTATGGAAACTTTCACAGTAATAATGACTGTATTTCTGCAGCAATAAAGTCATTTCCATATGACTTTTTCAAGAGATCTTTAGAGTTAATTTTCCTTCCCTGTATTCCCTCCTTTACCCTGCTCTCCCATTTCCTCCCCCATTTAACCCTTCCCTTTCTACTATCCCCCTTTAATGCTCTATGCTACCGTGTTTTAGCTCTCCTTCCTTGAAATCCACCTTGCCCCCATAGCCTTTTTAATAATTTCCTGACCTCTATGGCTACTCCAAACGAAAGACACATATATGAAGATTTATTCACAAGTGAGAGAAAGCATGATGTTTGTCTTTCTGGGTCTGGGTTTCCTCACTCAGAATGATTGTTATTTAGACTCACCCGTTTACCTGAGAATTTTATAATTTCACTTTTCTTAGCATCTGAATAATATTCCATTGTATAAATATACCACACTTTCATGATCCATTCTTCAGTGGTGGACACCTAAGTTGTTCCTTGGCTACTGTGAGAATAGCTGCAGTGAACATGGGTGAGCAAGCCTGTCTGTAGGAGGAAATAGAGTCCTTTGAGTATGTGCCCAGCAGTGGTATAGCTGGATCCTGTGGTGAGTCTATTTCTAGCTTTTTGAGGAAACTCCACACTGTTTTCTGTAGTAGCTGCACCAGTTTGTACTCCCACCAGCAGTGAATAAGTGTTCTCTTTCCCCCATATTCATGCCAGCATTTGCTATCAATTTTTGTTTTTTCTTTATAATCTCAGCCATTCTGACTGGAGTAAGAAGAAATCTCAAAGTAGTTTTAATTTGCATATCCCCAATGACAAAGAATTTAAAAAAACATTTCTGAGCCATTTGTATTTCAACTTCTGAGGGTGGTGATACTTTGTTTGTGATCTAACAAATAAAGCTTGCCTGAAGATCAGAGGACAGAGCCAGTCACTAGTTAGCCACAGAGGCCAGACAGTGGCGGCGCACGCCTTTAATCCCAGAACTCAGGAGGCAGAGGCAGGCGGATCTCTGTGAGTTCAAGGCCACCCTGGGCTACACAAGATTGACCCAGTCTAAAAGAAACAGAGCCAGGCCGTGGTGGCACACATCTTTGATCCCAGCACTTGGGAGGTGGAGACAGGAAGTGATATGGCTGGGCGGAGAGAGGAATATATGGAGGGAGGAGACAGGAGCTGAGAACTCTTTCAGGCTGAGGATTCGGTAGAGGTAAGAAGTCTTTCTAGTGGCTGGCTGCTCTGCTTCTCTGATCTTTCAGCATTTACCCCGATATCTGGCTCCAGATTTTTATTAAGACAAATTAGGATTCGTGCTACATCTGAGAACTCTCTATTTTATTTTCAAGACAGGGTTTCTCTGTATAACAGCTCTAGCTGTCCTGGAACTCACTATGTAGACAAGGCTGGCCTCGAACTCACGGAGATCTGCCTACCTCTGCCTCCTGAGTGCTGGGATTAAAGGTGTGCACCACCACACCTGGCTTCTACTTGGTTTTATGCCCCATCTTAAACTGGGTTGTTTTCTTGGTGTTTAGTTTTTTGAGTTCTTTGTGTAGTCTAGACAATAACCCTTGGTGTACAGCTGGTAAAGATTTTTCTCACATTTTGTAGGCTACCTCTCCACTCAAATGCTGGTGTCCTTTGCTATACAAAAAGTTTTTATTTTCATAAGGTCCCATTTATTAATTGTTAGCCATGATGCCTACACTTCCAGGATCCTGTTCAAGAAGTCCTTTCCTGTGCCAATGTGACGTGAGGCATGTTTCTTGGAGGCAGCAAAAAGATGGATTCTGTTTTCTAATCCAATCTGTTAGTGTCTTTTTGTGGAGGAATCGAGACTATTGTTGAAAGATATATATATGAATTCCTGTAATTTTGTTGTTTTTGTGTTTTCTCAGATATCTCAATCTGAAGAGAATGATAAATATACTCAAGAGGTCACAGGGCACAAATAAACAAGGCCAAGACAAGCAATCAAAAGATACCAGAGCCCGTCATCTCTCTTCCAGCCCTGACATCCCCTGCTTCCTGACAAGTCCCTTCTTATTCACGTCTCTTCGTCTTATTTTGTGACCCACTTAGTTTAACGAGGGCCATGTGTCTGACCACTGGCTTGAAACTGTCCACTGGAGCCTGATAGGCTCACCTGTGGATCCACATCTGAAGACAATGATTGCTCTTTGAAATGGTTACCTGAATTGTTTCAGTAAATAAAAACTCAGGAGTCAGAAATTGAGATAACGATCTGATAAATCCAAGGACAGCAGACCCTCTCTCCACATTTTTCCATTCACCAGCCCCCAGAAATCTTCTCTTCTTCTTCTCTCTAGCAGACCTCCTAAGTCCTCCAAGAACTCTAAGGCTAATTCCAGTCAGCCAATCATTGATTCTGTCCTTTGATTTAAGGTAGCTTTATTGGCACAGTGGGTTGGCTGCATGAACAATTCTCCCACAACATTTCCCCTTTTTGTCTAAAAAATGAAAAGTTTTAACTCTAACAATGTAAAACTATATACAATAAA